TCTATTCCAATTCTATTCTATTCTGCTTCTCTATTCTATTCCTATTCTAATTCCAATTCCAATTCTATTCTACTTTTCTACTCTTCCTATTCCAATTCCAATTCCAATTCTATTCTATTCTCAATTCTATTCCTATTCTATTCTGTTCCTATTCTGTTCTATTATTTTTTCCAGTGCCCCTGTAACTTTGAACAGTCCCTACTCCATCCACCGTTATAAATCTAGGACCACCTGATTTTGGGCGGGGGAGGAAATCATTATATGGGGGGGGGGGGGTCGCCCACACTTTCCTTTCCAAAGCGTCCCACTCGGACTCTGCCACTTTCCGCCCCGTCGAGCAGAAAGGAGGAGGGGGGGGCTAGCTCCCACGGGAGGGGCAGCCCCACGCGTGCTTTTGGCGCGGCTCCCGCAAGGCGCCGCGGGCCATCCGCGTCTCCTTCCCCGAGAGTCCTTCACGAGGGAGGGCGGGAGGGAGTTGGGGGGGGGAGACACAGGCGTCCCGCTGCGGGAACGGCGCCCCCTCGGGTCACGCGTGGGCGGGCGAGGCAAGGAAGGCGGAGTCGCCGCCTTCTCCCGATCCGGGAGACTTTAAAAGTGGGAGCGCTCCAGCCCAGCCCTGGCAAAACCCGAGCGGCCCGGCCGAGGAGGGGACGAGCGGCGAGCGCCGGGCGGAAAGAGGCAACCATGCGAAGGGCGAGCGCTTGCCGGACCCGGCCGGAGCAGCGGCGCCTCCCGTGGCCGGGCTGGTGGAGGAGCAGGAGCAGCAGCAGCAGCAGGAGCAAAGCCGGTGCCCTCAGCCGGAGGAGGGAGCCCGGTCCCGGAACGCCTTGGAGGTCGCCGCTGCTGCTCGCCCTGCTGGCCTTGGGGGTCAGCGCCTGCCAAGGTAAGCGGGGGGGGGGGGCAGCCAAAGTCTCAGCGCCTCCCGGGGTTCTTCTCTTGGAAGCCCATCTCGCTTGGTGGGGGGGGGGGGGGGGGGAGGGGGGGGGGGGTCCCCAAACTTGGCAACTTTAAGACTTGTGGGCTTCAATAGAATGGAATGGAATAGAATAGGACAAAAAGAATGGGATGGGAATAGAAATAGGATAGGATAGGATAGGATAGGATAGGATAAGAGGTAGAATAGGGGGTAGAATAGAGTAGAATAAGGGGTAGAATAGAATAGAATAGGATAGAATAGAATAGAATAGAATAGAATAGAATAAGAGGTAGAATAGAATAGAATAGAATAGAATAGAATAGAATAAGGGGTAGAATAGAGTGGAATAAGGGGTAGAATAGAGTAGAATAACGGGTAGAATAGAATAGAATAGAATAAGGGGTAGAATAGAATAGAACAGAATAAGGGGTAGAATAGAATAGAATAAGAGGTAGAATAGAATAGGATAGAATAGAATAGAATAGAATAGAATAGAATAGAATAGAATAGAATTCTTTATTGTGTGGTTGGACACACAAGGAATTTGTCTTGGTGCAAATGCTCTCAGTATACGCATTTCCCCCATGCGTGCGCATTTCCCCCCAGCACTTCTGCGCATGCCCACAGGATCCCCTCGCACTCAGGGTATTCTGTCCTGTACAAAGACAGATAACTATCTTTTTACTATTCTGTCCTGTACAAAGACAGATAGATAAACTCCACAAAGCATCTATACAAAGTCCTTTTTAATTGGTTCATCAGGCATCCTCAATAACTCACAGTTATGATGAGATTCTTCTCAATGTCTAATCCTTTGCATATCTGTCTTTTTTGGGTAAAAAGATGGTTATCTCTTATCCCTTTTATCCCATATCGTAGAAACAGGGGGTAGAGATGCTACAATGAGGCTGTGAAGAAACCTCCTCCGACCCACCAAGGGTCAATTCAGTGACCAATCAGGTGTGGCCACATGACATAACTACATTTCCCAGGATACCTTAACTACATTTACCATGATGCATTCCCTTAAGGGGACAGCCCTCAATTCCTAACTATCCCAAACCCCATTAACTCTAAACTGTCTGGATGCACGCATGTCTCCCATGAACCCCCCCTCCGCCCCCTGCAAATGCGTGCCACATACCGGACAATCAGCTCTCGGGCGGCAGTATGCACGCTCATGCACAGTAGGGCTCTTCCAGGCGACCTCTCGCATGCCGGGGGAAATGGCTCTGCGTGCCACTTCCGGCACGCGTGGTGTAGGTTCGCCAACACGGCTATATACCATTTCAGACAAGGGACTCTCCCAGTCTCTTCTTAAAAACCTCCAGTGATGAAGCACCTACAGCGTCTGAATCTTGTTCATGTGATCATGGTCATTAAGTATGAAAAACGGTCATAAGTCATCTTTTTTTTTCCAGTGCCGTTGTAACAGTCAGTTAAATGAACTGTTGTAAGTCCATTGCTTCCTGCGTGTTGCTTCTAGCGTGTTGCTATTTTGAGTGGAAAAACACCGAGCCTTGCAAATGCTATATTCTGAGGCTGAGGATTCCCCTCTTTAAAATGGACATTAAAATGGGGAAGGGCGTCCCTCATCTTTCAACTCTTCCCAAATAGTTGTATATTCCCAAATAAGTTTCCTATCCAAGCATCCCTTCCTCTTATTCAAAGTTTACGTTTCTTGCTTTAAGGCAATTGGAAAAGTTTGCTTGCTTCCCTTCCCAAAAAAATTCACCAGGGTTTTAATACATGAGGTTTTACTTAGATTTTGGGACAGGTATCCCGAAGTATATAATAAACAAGGCAAACTCTTGAGTGACTTGCCTATTTTCTTGATAGAGGGCTGTTAAGAGGGTGGTCTCTGAGCTAGCTGGGTTTCTTGCAGACTTCTCATTACCCAACTAGGTAACATTATCAGTGCTAGCATTTCATTACCTAGTTAGGGTAATGAAACATCTGAAAAAAAAAAAAAAAACCAAGGTCAGAGAGCACCAAGGAGAGTCCTCTTGTCAACCTTCAGCTGCAAATATTCTCCTTTTATTAGGGAAGTTAAATTTACGCATTGCAATAAGCTGCTTTTCTTACACTGTAACGTAATGTTAACCTAATCCTACGTAGCTTTTTCTCTGGTAATATCACACTACTAACTAGAGAATACAAAACATTTGCTAGACCAATACTTGAATACAGCTCATCAGTCTGGAACCCGCATTATGTATCTGATATTAACACAGTTGAGAAAGTCCAGAAATATTTCACAAGAGTTCTCCACTCCTCTACTCGTTGCAGAATACCTTATACCACCAGACTTGAAATTCTAGACCTAGAAAACCTAGAACTACACCGCCTTCAGTTTGATCTGAGTATAGTATATAAAATCATACATTGCAATGTCCTACCTGTCAATGAATTCTTCAGCTTCAACCATAACAACACAAGAGTACACAATAGATACAAACTCAGGATTAATCGCACCAAACTTGATTGCAGGAAATACGACTTCAGCAACACTGGTCAATGTCTGGAATACTCTGACTCTGTGGTTTCTTCCCCAAACCCCAAAAACTTTAACCTTAGACTGTCTACTATTGACCTCACCCCTTTTTCCTAAGAGTCTATAGGGAGCGTGCATAAGTGCACCAACGTGCCTACCGTCCCTGTCCTATCGTTTCTTTTATATATTTTTTCTTATATGTATCCATGTATTCATAACTATGTTTTTTTTACTTATACCTATTATCTTGTAAGCAATTGACAAAAATAAATAAATAAAATAAATATGAAAAGTTGCAAAAGGTGTGCCATTTTATACCTATCAAACTTGGCTGGGGAATTCTGGGAGATGAAGTCCAGAGCGTTTAAAGTTTCCTGTTCTAAATGGAATACTTCCAGAGGTGGGTATTCAGCAGGTTCTGACCAGTTCTGGAGAACCGATAGCAGAAATTTTGAGTAGTTCAGAGAACCGGCAAATCCTACCTCTGACTGGAGTTTTTACAGTATCCTTCCCCGGCCACGCCCACCAAGCCATGCCCACAGAACCGGTAGTAAAAAAATTTGAATCCCACTACTGAATACTTCTTCTGTTTCCAACTCTGTTCTATGTCTTAGGAATTTCTTATCAATTGTGTTAAGCTATGGTTTGGTCTTAGAAAAGAAAAATAATCCAATTTTGGTCCTGCATAATATACATACTGTATATTATGCAGAGCTTTAAGTCAGATCTGGGGGTTCTTTCTTGTCCTAATTATAGCAATAAGAATGTAATTCCAATTTTAAAACTCTGTCTCATTCTCGTTTAGTTCTAACAATGAATGTCATTTCCAATGCAAAGTCACTTATTATCAAAATGTAAGCCCCCCAGAGAGCAATAGTGCCTTTTTTAGGTGCCTTTATAAATAATCTGCAAAATATTAAATTTTCAAATAATAATTGACGGAATAAAGAATGGAATACCAATGAATATTACACATTAATTTTAAATAGAAGCCACAGCAGAAATAAATCCCTGCAATAGTATACAGGGTATAGATTTCTTCGCACAATGCAGGCATTATAGTTTTGAGATACCAATTTGTATTTCCCTTTCTAAATACTTTCAAGTATATCTATAGTATGCTCATTGAACGAAATGCTTGGATTTAAAACATAAAGTTAAATTCTGAAGATATGTATTTTAAGGCAAGTAGATAAATACATTTTAAAATATCCCAGTTATTTATTCTCAAACCGTTCCATGGTTTAGAGTCTTTATTTCACTGATAAGTAACAAAAATGACAGCATTCATCAAAGCACACAAAGAAATGCAATTATATGGAATGTTCATATTTAATATCATCTAGCCTGATCTGTATTACTTGCTTCGTAGTCCTAAATGAAATCATGTTCATATATACAACTTCAGAATATATTTTAAAAATCCTAAAAATGAAAATGTAATGAAGAGAACGTGAATAATGGCAGAGGCTTGTTTGTATCTTCTTTTTGTGTTTCTACACAAAGTATGAACAAAGCATAGACATTGTCCGGTTAGAATTTTAATGTGGTGCTTAACTCAGATTTTATTCTTTGTGCAGTTCCCTTCCATTTCTTTGTTGCTTCTTCTGTGACTTTTTTTCTTCCTTTAAAAACAGAAATTCGTGGAATAGTTGCAAAATGCTTTTTTTTTTAAATTAGTAGTGCTGAGAGTAGTATCCAGAGTCCAACTAGCAAGCACAGCTGATGTGCATAATAAAATATTTTACTAACAAGCTGTATATGGGTATATTCTTTCTGCCCTCATTTTACAATTTGAATTCTTTCTAGCTTTCCGTCTGTCTGTCTGTCTGTCTGTCTTTCTGTCAGATAGACAGATAATAGATAATCTATCTGTCTGTCTGTCTGTCTGTCTATCTATCTATCTATCTATCTATCTATCTATCTCATTTATCATCTGTCATTTATGTTCTATCTCCTACCTATATCTGTCTGTCTGTCTATCTATCTATCTATCTATCTATCTATCTATCTATCTTATCTATCTGTCTGTCTATCTATATCATTTATCATCCGTCATTTATGTTCTATCTCCTACCTATCTGCCTGCCTGCCTTCCTGCCTGCCTGCCTGCCTACCTACCTACCTACCTACCTACCTATCTATCTATCTATCTATCTATATCTGCACACACACACACATACACACATCTACATATATACTGTACATATATACATTCATGTTGCAGTTTTCTGGCAGCAAAGCCCACTGACTACAATTTCCTTCAGAATAGAAAGATATACATACGTTATAAAAAAATCAGGATTAATTTTATCTTTTTGATGCTTTTATTTGGTAGTTTTCTCTAGGAATAATGAAAACACCCTGTTAATATAATTCTACTTGCCTATATACATAAATGTCATGCTATTCCCTTTTGGGGAATGTGTGATGCAAAGCACAAAAAAATAATATAAAGTAGTAAGAAAGGAAATTAATTGCATGAGATAAGAAGAGGAAACAGGTTTAAACCTGGATTTCACCAACACAATTCACTATATTCTCCATACCTTTTGTATTTTTGCAAATATTTCTGGCTGCCATTATATCTGTACCTCACTTTTTCTTTCTGAGAAAGAGAAATTATTGGACTCATTATCTTGCCCTGCTGAAGTGATTAATTGCAGCCATTCTGCTTACAGCATTTGGACTGGAGTATCTGCAGCCAGAGGCTGTTGTAGATTTGTGGGAGAGTTTTTCTCCAGGCCGGAGAGTAACTGGGACGTTGGGGGCAAAATTGGAGCAAATAAAGGGACTCATACCTGATCTCTGGCTATGTTGCCTTTGTGCCATGCCCTGGGTCATCACAGCGTCATGTGCTGGCCCTGCCCATGCCCAGTTTAGCAAAGGGGGGCAAGTCCTGACATGTCACATGGTGCTGTAGTGATGACATGATTTGACACCTCTGCTCTAGAAAATGTTAATCCATAGTATATTTCTTGATCATTTGTTCCATATGCTTATGATTCCTTATAAACAAGGAACCATAAAAATTCCTTATTCATAAATAGTTGAAATATTGATCAGTTTTGAATATATGTCTTTTAGAGAATGAAAGAGTCAGAAAAACATAGTATATTTTTCCCTATCATCATTTTAAAAAAATACCTGAGTATATAGAATTCACATCTAGATAAAGTAGGGACACTGTCTAATTTAAAAGAAAGATAAAGTTTTGCATTCAAATATATGCAGATATTTATGGGACGGATCACATTTCAAAATATTGTTGGGATTAGGGATTAAAATAAAACATGTTTGAAAGCATGTATTTCGCATAACCCAACGTATACTGCTCTGTCGCTCAGATTCAGAAGTATGGAAATTTCAAAACTCCATTCACAATTTTTTTGGCACTGAAATTAATGAAAAGCAAGAAAAAATAATGATGTAAGCATATAATATTTCATGTTGTAACATAAATCACACCTGAAGTGAACTGTTTTCGGACTCTGAATATCAGCTTCTTGTGTATATTCAATATCTTGCCTGCTTTTTTGTTACTAACACTTTCACTCTGTTTTCTGAGTTACAGTATTTGTTTATTCATTGACATATTCAGAGTTGATAATCTTTGCAGAGCTGGTAATACCATAAATAAATTTTTTTAACCCATTGTTTTTCCTTATTTCCAGGTGTACCAGTGATGTCCCATGTTCTCCAAGGAGAAAAAGTGTGGAATGAGGTAAAAAACAGTATCCCTCATATTACTACATTCAGTGTTGTTTTATTTAACACAAAAGTGTACCTATGCCATTTGTACTATACGTTTTTTTTTTAAACCAGATTTAATAACTGAAGAGACTGGCAAAAACTTTATTTGTAACACTCAACAAAAAAGCTTAAATTTCTTTCATTTTTGTTCAGTTGAAAACATAACTGAATCTACTTTCTTGTCAATCTTGATAGATAGATGATATGTGTTCTGCTATCCCAGCTAGAGATTCTCTGCCTCAGGTCAGTTTAATTTAACGTTTTAAATAATGTAAATGTGTGTTGTTGTTTTTTAAGGAGGTGTCATGCTCCTGTCGGAATCTGACTTGGAGGAGGAAGCTGAATAGCTGACAGGGAGTGGGAGTGTGGCTCCGTTGGCTATGGAAGAAACTGGGGAAGGGCAAAGTCCAGCTGGGCAGAGCAGGGAGAGGTAGAACAAGGGAGAGGGAGTTCAGAGGAAGACCCAGGCCCGCCCCCTCTTCATCATAGGGCATGCAGGGAGGAACGGAAAAGGGAGCAACGTGAGTTGAGTGGCTGATAAGGGAGGAAAGGGCCCTGATTCCCTTCATTAGCTGCAGCTGGAAACACAGTGTATAAAAAAAAGGAAGTTGCGTGCAGCAGGCTGTTCGGAGCAAACATAACTTTATCTTATATCGTCATGGCTTATCTGTGTTCCTGGTGTCTTCCCAACTGTGTGAGCTTTGCCGTGCTTTCAAGTCTGAAATTCCCGCTCCTGCCCTGCCAAACTAATTACTTCAGTTTGGTTTGTTTGGATTTTAAGTTACAGTTAGTGTGTAACAGTCAAAGGCTGTTCCTGGGAGAGTTTTTCTCCAGCCCAGAAGGTAACCTGGACACTGGGGGCAAAGTTGGAGATAATAAAGGGACTCTTACTGCTTATCTGACTGTGTTGCCTTTGTGCCGTGCTCTGGGTCATCACAGGAGGATGCTTTTAGTTCATTAATCTAGTCTCTTTTGTTTTTAGCCATCCAATGCGCTTGAAGAATTTTGCTTTATGGTTCTGGAATTTCTACAGAAGGATAAGGTAATAACAGTTACCACTGGTTTTTTTTTTTAATATGGTAATCAGATTCTTCTGTTCAGGTAGTCTTTGATTTATGACTGGTTGCTTAGCAACTGCTCAAGTTTCTGACGGCCCCTTCTAATACAATACTCAAGAACCAGTCCTGAAGTTGTAACTGCTGTCTCCCCATCACATTTCGAGTGCTTAGTAACCAGTTCACATTTATGGCCATTTGCAGTGTTGTGCGGTCATGAAACCACCACAATTTATGATGTTTTGGCCAGTTTTCAGAAAAAGCACACCCCCATAGTGAACAATGGGTTCCTTTAACGACTGCCACTAAGGTCAAAAAAATGTGATGGTTCTCTTTACAACTGTCATGACTTGTGACAATAATGGGCAAGATGCATTCCAGTCATAAGTTGAGAACTACTTGCAATGTTTTATCATTAGTTTTCAAGCAAACGGTGGATGCTAATGGATTCTCAGCTTTGGGGGTCCCTGATACCAGCTGTTGCAAGGCTATTCACAGACGGATACATTTAAATAAGGAATATGCAAAACCATATGGTCTGTTTTTCTTCTTAAACATGTCGATATTACTATATCAAGAATGACCGTTCCAGTGGGTTTTTTCAAAGTATAATCTTTTAGATTGGAAGTGGCTGGCAGAATGTTCAGTTCTATATATCTTAGCTTAAATTGTTTATTTATTTATTGTTGAATTTATTTGCCACCTATCTCACCGATATAATGTATGTGGGTATATGCATAGTATTTTTTTTTTTTAAGTTGTCGTGCTTATGTAGTGTATATTGGAAGGTGGGTGATCCTTCGAGAGCTGTATGCAACGAAATTTCATTTTAATGTATGCCGATTAATATCCCTTCAAAGTGACAATAAAGTTATTCTAAGACCTAAGTCTAATGGGAAGCTGATTAGCAGAATCATTGCTCAAATTTTAAGTGAGCCAGGTAATTTAAAAAATCTGAAAGGTTTAGTTTAGTTCTGTTTAGTTCAGTTTAGTTTAGTTTATTGTCATTGCACATCGCACAACGAAATTAAATACTATCTTCAGTGTACTATGCAGTAGAATTCAATAGAATTGCTGCCCTGGGATTTTCAACCTATTTGTCTTTATTTTTATTATCCGTCTGCCAGTTGATAATAGTTCAAAAAAAGGGTGCCCAGGATGAGATGGATCTTTGAGAATGTTTTGAACTTTCTTAAGGCAGCAGGAGCTATAAATAAACTAGCAGATACCAATAAGCCATTTCTAATTTAGAAATGTATCAGAGGTAATTGAAGGGGAAAGTACCATGCGGAATCTGATCGAAAAGGTATATATCTTATGTAGTTGTTAGAAGATGATTGTTATAAATGTTTAAGGGGATAATTAAAAGTTGAATGTTTAATGGGATTTCAAAGGGAATTAATGATAAGCTATAGGGAATTGTGGGGAAAATCTTTGTTTTGAAATGTTTTAATTGAGGTGGAATTTTTGAAAGGATGAAATATGAATATGCGATGAAATTGTAAACATGACAGATAAAAGTATAAATTTAATGAATATGAAGATATGAGAATTATTTAAAAATAAAGGAATAGGTTAAGAAATGTATGGAAAACTTATTTAATAAGCCTGAGGGAAGTTTTTGAGAAAAATAATAGAGAACACATTATAGTGGTAAGATATGAAATAATTAAACAATTAAACAATAAATAAATAAATAATAAATAAATAAATAAATAAATAAACCTATGTCTGTATGGAGATGTGAAAATCTGGAATCATGCTGTTCACTAAAAAAGAGATTTTTTTTCCTTTTGTTTTAAATGTGGAAAATTGAAATAAAAGATTATTTTTAAAAAGCCATTTCTAAGTTGCGTAAGCCTTGAAATGAATTTAAATTCAATATTTTCTGTATTACATAGCAAGACAAGCCATACAAGCAGCTTCTTTGTACGGTTGAAAGAGTTCAGTGTTTATTCCTTTCTAACATTTTTATTTGAGAAGTTACTGGGCTTTGATGCAGATTATTTTGAATTTAGGTTAATTTCAAGCCATTGTTTCCTAAAGTTGTCTTCAGAAACTAATCAAAGTTGCTGTTGTCAAGATGGTCGCAAAAGGGGATGACATGCCCCCGGGACACTGCAACCATCGTAAATATGAGTCGCTTGCCAGGTTTCTGAATTTTAATCACATGACCATGGGGATGCTGCAAAGCAGAGGTGGTATTCAGCAGGTTCTGACCAGTTCTGGAGAACTGGTAGCAGAAATTTTGAGTACTTCAGAGAACCGGAAAATATCACCTCTGACTGGAGATTTTACAGTATCCTTCCCCTGCCACACCCACAAAGCCATGCCCACAGAACCGGTAGTAAAATAAATTTGAATCCCACCACTGCTACAAAGGTCATAAGCAGGGATGCAATTCAACTAGAGTGCACACCATTTTTAAAAAGCCTATTTACAACTATAATACTGTACAGCCCCGGTGAGTAAAACAGCTGAGGCACAGCAAATCCACTCAGCCTCGTGAATCAGCTCTGCTCCAAAACAAGGAAATAAAGCCGAACTAGTCTGAACCAGGAAAATCCCACCCCTGGTCATAAGTGTGAAAAATGGTTATAGGCACTTTTTTCAGTGCTGTTGGAATGGTCACTAAACATTGTAAATCAAGGACTAATAAAGGAGAATATATGTAAACATATCTAGTAAACAACTACTCACAAGGACAGTTTTTTCCCGAACGCTATCACTCTGCTAAACAAATAATTCCCTCAACACTGTCCATTTACAAAGTCTGTAACTATTAATCTTCTCATCACTCCTTATCACCCATCCTCTCCCACTTGTGACTGTATGACTGTAACTTTGTCGCTTGTATACTTACAATCTATATTGATTGTTTCCTAGTATGATTTGATTGCTTATTGTGCCCTATGACTATTATTCAATGTGGTACCTGATGATTCTTGACTCTTGACAAATGTACCTTTTCTTTGATGTACACTGAGAGCATTTGCACCAAGACAAATTCCTTGTGTGTCCAATCACACTTGGCCAATAAAGAATTCTATCTATCTATCTAACTCAGGGCTGAAATGAGGGGTCCTTGTTGCTATCTGAGCTTGCTTGTTTTCTTGCAAAACGTTTCATTACCCAAACTAGGTGTTGTGGTTCGCCAGCAGCCTGTGCAGATGGCAGTGGACTTGGACAATGGGGAAGAACGGGGACCAGTCCGGGAGTCTGGGGAGGACTCGGACGAGGGTCCTGCATCCAATGCAGAGGTGGGGCCAGGACCATCTGGGAGTTGGATGCTGACTCTGGAGCCTCCAGAATCTGGCAGCAGTAAGGCAGAGGAACAAGGGGAGCCTGTTCCCAGTACGCATGTGCGCAGAGCTGCTAGAAGGCAAGAGCAGCTGAGACAAAAGGGGCGACTTGGGAGTAAGGCTGGGAGGTGATTGCCCCTCCCCTAAAGTAGCAAGGGCAGGCAAAGGTGAAGAAACCTTTGTAGGAAGCAAAATCGTTTGTTCTGTTCGGATTAATCCTTGAAGCTCTGTGTGGACTTTGTACTTCAGTTGTTGTTTTTTTACCGTTAATTTGGCACTCTAGTTGTTGGCAGCAATTCAAAGGAGAGAAAGGTGGGTGTTTATCTCAAGGAACTGTATGGGACTCATTACGGGCTGGGAATGAACATCATTCCCAGCATTGAAATAAAACAAGAGTTGTTTGGACTAAGCGTGTGCTTAATTAGGTCTCGGAAGCCTTGGTCAGGAGTGCTGACAGCACTCCTTACTAGCACTGATGATGTTACCTTCCAACCTCAAGCTAGAATCTCACTGCTGTTCCTGTGTCTGTGTTCCTATTCTCTTAGCCATCGGTCACACATCCTTGGCTGCCACCTGCTCCCCAACTTCAGGACAGGAGACAGAAGAGATACAAAGCGGACGTATGTGACTTCTAAGTTATGCACAACAGCATAACTCCATGTGTCTTACTCATCCTTTTTTAAAAAAAAAAAAAGCTTCTATGTCTTAGTTTTAATTATTTCTTCCCCCCTCCCAATATTTTTTATTGTCCTTTTTCATCTTTTATATATCTTATGATTTATATTGACTGCTTCCTAGTATGATTTGATTGCTTATTGTACCCTATGACTATTATTAAGTGTTGTACCTTATGATTCTTGACTCTTGATGAATGTATCTTTTCTTTTATGTACACTGAGAGCATTTGCACCAAGACAAATTCCTTGTGTGTCCAATCACACTTGGCCAATAAAGTATTCTATAAAGTATTCTATTCTATTCTATTCTATTCTATTCCATTCCATTCCATTCCACTCCACTCCACTCCACTCCATTCCATTCCATTCCATTCCATTCTATTTCTATTGTAATTCTGTTCTATTCTATTCTATTCTATTCTATTCTATTCTATTCTATTCTATTCTATTCTATTCTATTTCTATTGTAATTCTGTTCTATTCTATTCTGAACCCTATTCTATTCTTCATTCCATTCTATATATTCTATTCTATTCCTTATTCTAGTCTATCCTATTCTATTCTTCATTCCATTCCATATTTTCTATTCTGTTCTATTCTATTCTATTCTATTCTATTCTATTCTATTCTATTCTATTCTGTCTTAACCTTAATATTAACAATACTGTGCCATCATTACTATATAAACCAATCTCATATAACTATCTACATTTATATACATTTATATACATTCATATATGTTTATCTATAATTTTCTTTTCTCTGTTAACCTTATTTCTATTTTTCAACCATGTATACCAATTGTCCCAAATTACGTAATACTCCGACTCTTCTTTATCTTTTAATTTTAACGTCAGTTTATCCATTTCAGCATAATCTAGTTGGTTTTTTTTTCAATTACTAATTCCTCTGAGGGCATATTATTTTGTTTTCAGCATTGTGCGAATGCTATCCTTGTTGCTGTCTATATATGTAATAAAATATATTTAATCTTTTTCCTGTATGTCCTAAGTTTTAATTATTTCTATTGGGCTGTACCATAGAGGTAGTCCTCAATTTACAACAGGGGACTTTAGGGATCATTTGAAGTTGCAACGGCACTGACAAAAAAGTGACTTACGACCGGTTTTCACAGTTATGATCTTTGCAGCATCCGCCAGGGTCATGCGATCAAAATTCAGATGCTTGACCACTTGCTTCATATTTATGACGGTTGCAGTGCGACCTTCTGACAGGCAAAGTCAGTGGGGAAGCCAGATCCATTTAGTGACTGGGTTGCTAACTTTAACAAATGCAGTGATTCATTTTAACCAACGTAGCAAGGAAAGTCGTAAAATGAAGCAACAGTCACTTAACTCCTCGCTTAGCGATGTAAATTCGGGACTCAACTGTGGTTGTAAATCAAGGACTACCTGTATGTCTAAGTGCCTGCTTCTGCTTCCTTATTCAGAACTAAATCCTATGTTCGTTGGATATTAGTACATTCGTTTAGCACTGTAGCCTAAATCAGTGGTCGCCAACCAGTGGGCCGGGGACCACTGGTGGTCCGCGAGAAAATTTTGGTGGTCCGCAGAGAAATGTCACCCCCAAAGCCATTAATCCAGGCTGCATGGGAATACAAGCCAGCACCGCCCACAGGGCCCGTGGGAACACAAGGTTTGTGTCACTTGAATTGAGAACAAACAACACAAGGTAGCAAGGGGAGGGGGGGAGAGGGCGGAGGAGAGGAACTTGTCCCACTCGCCTTGCCTGGCCACCAGTCTGCTTCTTTTTGCTTCTTTCTTCTTCTGCTTCTGGCTGCACACAAGGAAAGCAACAGAAGTCTTTCCTTCTCTCCCCCAAACTCCGTCAGAAATGAGTCTTTGGGACCCTGCGAGGCATCCTGCTCCAAGAGGCTGCACCGGCGTGACAAGTCTCAAAAAGACTCATTTCTGGCGGAGTTTGGGGGAGAGAAAGAAAGACTTCTGCTGCTTCTGCTGCTTTCCTTGCATGTAGCCAAAAGTCTCTCTCCCTCTCCACCTGAGAACAAAGCTGGGGACGGTATCCTGCGATCCCAAATAAAGAACGATCGATAGGTAGGAAAACGGGATGGGGAATTTTCTTGCAGACTTTTTGGGGGATTATCTTAGGGTCTCTGGTCCGCGGGATTTAAAATTATGACTTTGGTGGTCCCTGGGGTCCAAAAGGTTGGCGACCCCTAGCCTAAATTACTCATGACAGTCTTGTATTATTGGTTTCAATAGAACAATAATAGGGCAACAAGCCATAGAATCGTTAGGACTGTGATGGCACACGTACCAGAAGTGACATGCAGAGCCATTCCTGCCGGCACGCGAGAGGTCACCTGGAACAGACCCACTGCGCATGCGCGCTGCCCGCCAGCCAGCTGATTGTTGGATATTTGCTACGCATGGCGGGGGTAGATGCACGGGGAGCCACGCACATATGCACAGAGGAGTGGGGCATGCACAGGGGGCGGGAGATCACACGTGCATTGCACTATGGGTGCATGCATTCCCACATGTATGCATGCGCACTTTCGCACGGAGTGAGAAAAAGGTTAGCAATCACTGTGTTAGGTTATCGTTCTGTCCCAGCCGAAGGTTCCAAAAGGAAACACAGATAAACTCCAAAACTGAAATATTCATGGCTTTATTCCATAAATTACCCTCTTTGTAGATAACAGATGACTTCCAGCCAATTAATCCAAATAAATCAGAGTCTGTAATCATCACACTAACTCCTTCAAACTTTGCCTTTTGCAAAGGCAAAAGCCGTTTGAAACCAGGCTTATATTCCCCAGAGGGAGGGGCCATTAATTAGCATTCTTACTCCCAAGTTGCCTTCCTGATTGCTGCTGGCGAACCACAACAGATATATCTCAAGCATTTTATAATGTTTACTCCTGTTTATATGGCACTTCAAGATATACAACAAGAAGCAAAGTTGGCAGGTATGACTTTTTATTAATAAGGACAGCATAGCTGTTCAATGCAAGAGTCTATTCGAATCAGTCATTATTACATCACTACAATATATATTCTATAGCATTCTTCCTGTACTTGGTGCCCTTCAGAATTCTTGACCTGCATAATCAATATTTGGTGCTTTTCAGCGCAGTCTAATATCTACATTCTTAGTCCAAGAGTAGCAGAATCTAAATCAATATTCTTATACTTAGGAGTGGTACTTGAATATACGGATAGTTGAGAAAGGAGCAAGAAAGGAAAACACTTAAAGCAGTGAACCATCACTAATTAAGTAGGAACCAGGATCTTTCTATGTAAATATTGATGTTTGTGTGTCTGGCACTTTTAATTGTCAGAAGACTCCAATGACAAGAGATAACAGATAACAGATAATCAGAGTTGGAAGGGACCTTGGAAGGGGGTTGGTTACCCCCTACACCATTTCTGACAAATGGCAGTCCAATCTCTTCTTGAAGGTCTCAAGTGATGGCGCTGCCACAACTTCTGAGGGCAACTTCTGTTCCATTGGTTGATTGTTCTCACTGTCACAAAGTTTCTCCTTATTTCCAGGTTAAATCTCTCCTTGTTCAGTTTCCATCCATTATTCCTTGTCCTTCCCTCAGGTGCTTTGGAGAATAATTTGACCCCACCTCTTCTTTGGGGCAGCCTCTCAAATATTGGAAGACTGCTATCATGTCTCCCCTGGTCCTTCTCTTCCCTAGACTAGCCAAGCCCAGTTCCTGCAACCATTCATTGTATGTTTTAGTCTCCAGCCCCCTAATCATCCTGGTTGCTCTTCTCTGCACTTTTTCTAGAGTCTCAACATCTTTTTTATAGTGTAGTGAACAAAACTGGATGCAATACTCTAGGTGTGGCCTTACTAAGGCTTTATAAAGTGGTATTTGTACCTCACTTGATCTTGATTGTATCCCTCTGTTAACGCAATTTAGGATTGCATTAGCTTTTTTGAAAAAGAAAATATTCCAATATATTCATTTATTTTATTGTAATTAAATTGTAAGAAACATTAACTGAACATGGATCATGTTGGATTCTGAATCTCTTTGGATGGTGAGGTGGGTGGCATATAAATTTAATAAATAAATAAAATAACTCATAATCCCAACGAACCCTAAGAGGGCTTCATCAACTAAGTAGACTCGATATAAGTTAGCGTAACTTGACATTCTCATAGTATTTCAGAACTCCTAGTACTTCTTACGTCTTTTTATGGGATCTTAGTTATCCATAGCCTTCAGACTATTGATTGTAATTGCATTGATTGTTGGTGTAAATGTTTCCCATTTATGGCATATCCACTCATTAAGCTCAATTGAGATGGTTTGTAGGAGCAAAAGGTCTTGAGATCTGCAAAAGAATGAAAATAGGTTACTTTGCCACTGTTGTTTTGGGGGATTTTGAAATCTGTTCTCTTTTTAGGAAGAACTTCGAATACCTGGAGGAGTTCAAAGCAGGGGATATTTTATGTTCCGAGTAAGTCAATTTCTGTTTCTTTCTGGCTCAGGGCTATATGAGAAGACAATAAACGGGACCTGTGCTGAGAATTTAGGTTGTTCTTTGGGAATAGTCTTTTGGCTGGCCAATAAATTAGAGCAACCAATAGATGATGCAGCCGATTTTATCATCTTCATGACTCTGCTTTAAATACATAATACAACCAATTTAAGAGGCATACGATACCAGGGGTGAGCTTCCAAAATTTTAGCAAAGGGTTATCTGCCCAGTTGCTGGGTGGGTGTGGCTTAGTCAGCCTCCTGCACCACGGCCGGGTGTATACATGCATTTTTGCTCTCCCTGGGCTCCGGAGGCTTTCCTTGAGCCTCCGGGAGGGTGAAAATGGCCGCCCCAAGCTCCGGAGGCTCTCTGGAAACGGGCCCATTTCCGGCTTCCCCAAACTTCCGGGAGGCCCATTGTTCATCCTCCCTGAGCCTCCCTGAGCACCCTGCACTTACCTGCACCCAAAATAGGCCACGTGGGGACCCCCGGGAGAGGGGGTGGGCGGGGCAGAGCCAACCAGGAGTGGGATTTTTTGAACTGAACATCAACCAGTTTAGAGAACAAAGCTTGAATAAGGTCTTCCTTCAACTGTGTTGTTTCTTTTGCCTTCATTAATTTCCCAGGCTGTTATGTGTGCATGTACACAAAAAATGCGCACAGCAGGATAGGACAGGAGGACCTAAATAAAGAAATCTCCAAAAGGGGAGAGAGTAGGATTGTTCTCAGTGTAGTAGAGCACTGAAATACGGTACTTCCAGCATTTTCTGAAGAGATCAATGAAAAGCCCTGAGCATAAAGAGGTACGGATGGACCTGATACATACCAATTGCTCCGTTTCTCATTCTTCTACCAGAGAATAATTCTGCAGTCCTCAACTATTGATTATCACTCCTATCCTCCAGCACTACATATATTCTGCTGAATATGTCAATATAAATGCTGGCGAGTTAAATCAATGAGTTGAGCAGATTTCATGGCTTATATACCTCTCTAGGGCAACTTGCAGTCAGAAGGCTTAGTTTAAGGTAAACGGAGGTCAATATTTTTTGCTCGTTTTTCCTACTTTTCCTTTACTAATGAAGTTCTCAGATCTCTTCTCTCGACATTCAGCTGTAATTAAAACGTAAGAGCAATCTGGGGAAAAAAAATCATAACGTGTTAGAAATTTGTTTCAAATTGCAAATTGCAAAAAATGAATTTATAACTCTCACAGAGGTGTTCCAAAAAATACTACTTATCTATCTTTCCTTTTTCTTTTGTAGCCACGTAATGGAAGAAGATCAGCTGCTCTCTATTAAAAAGGTATTTAATCCTACTTTTTGTTTCAAGTAATGCTTTATAATATAGTTGGAATGCCTGTGGGAAAGTATAAAAATTATCTTTCACCAAATCTTATATTTTTAATTTTTTTTAATAAATACTCTAGGCACGAACATGCATGGAGGCACGTATTATAGATAAGTATGTCTGTGTGTGTTCCTAACCATTTTACTAAAGAAGTTAAACAAGTGGATAAGGATTAAATTTCAGCATTTTAAGGCATCCTTTCATCTCCCCAGCAAGAAGCCAACCATTAAAAAAAAAGTCAAAGAAATAATTCCAGTGTTCAATTTTTTGTCCTGAGAATAAAATCTCACTTTTTCTATCATACCCTTCCCAGTGTGTAATGGAAGATTTTAGTGCTTCTCTACATTACTGCTTCCATATCTCCTGATTTTGTCTGTTTAGAATTGTGTAACCACCTGATTATTCAAAACTATAAATGTAACCTAAGCCATGTACCATTTTCTAAAATCCTCACTGTGGTTGGTAGAGCCACTTTGTTCTTTTAAAAAGCCCTCTTTGGTCTTCGTGGATAAGAATGGAGGTTTGTTCCTATCATGCCGCTGTCAGAATCTGAATCCGAGAAGAGAAAAAGCTGACAGGGAATGGGGGTGTGGCTCCACTGGCTGTGGAGGAAACTGGAGAAGGGCAAAGTCCGGCTGGGCAGAGCAGGGAAGAGGCAGAACAAGGGAGAGGGAGTTCAGAGGAAGACCCAGGCACACTCCCTCTTCATCCTAGGGCATTCAGGGAGGAATGAAGAAGAGAGCAAGGTGGATTGTGTGGCTTGCGGGGGAGGAAAGGGCTCTGATTCCCTTCATTAGCCACACCTAGGAATGAAAGTTTAAAAGAACGGAATGCTGACTGCGGCGAGCAAATTTGACTTTATCCTGTGTTGTCTTTGCTTATCTGTGTCCCTGGTGTCTTCCCAACTGTGTGAGTTTTGCTGTGCCTTCACGTCTGGGATTCTTGCTCCTGCCCTGCCAAACTAATTACCTCAGTTTGGCTTGATTGGATTTATAGTTACAGTTTGTGTTGACCATGTTTTGGACTTGATTCTCTGCAGTTAAAGGCTGTTCCTGGGAGAACCTGGACATTGGGGGGCAAAGCTAGAGCTAATAAAGAGACTCTTACTGATTATCTGACTGTGTTGCCTTTGTGCCACATCTCGGGTCATCACAATTTCCATAGCATCACCTACTCTTCAAAGTCTTCTGTCCTACAAACAGACACTTCCCTGCCTCAGTGGGGCAAGTTGTAATTCTGTGAAAGACACCACATTTAAGAGAGAGAGAGAGAGAGAGAGCAGATTCTTGGAGAAAGTTCCAGTCCAGCCTTGAAACTGTATTAGAGCAAGCACAGATTCCAGTAATGGATTTTACTAATCAGTATCGCAAAAATATTAATATTCTCCCAGGCATATAACACTAATCCATTTTTAAAAGTGTCTATCATAAAAATGCCATGTAATTGTTTAATATATTATAATTATTTTTGTTTCTTTCTTTAGGCTTGCTCTTGGGTCACTTTTGGGACTACAGAGAAAACGGACATCTTACGCGCTATTAAATGTTAAAGCTTTTTTTAAAAGATACTCTATCCACAGCACAAAATTCTTACCATTAAAAATTAAAACTTCTGCATGTTTACTCACAAAAAATGTTCTTACGCTCACATTAGTGTTTAGAGGTTTGCAACCTAAAGTACCATTTTTAAAGCATCTTAACATTATTCTATTCCCTTGTGTTACAAGTTTTGAAATGATGTGAAATTCAATTATAAACGAAAGTGTTGTATGGACTTTGCTGGTTGAGTGAATGCTACATATATATAGTTTTTTCCTCCTTTATTGTAAATAAAAACATTCAATAGAGAGTTGTTTTTAATGAGAGTATTTTAATGAGAACGTTGCTGATTGTTAAATGTCTTGCTTTCTGCGCTTTAGGTCTTATGATTTCCTTTTAGGCTTAGGTGTTTTTTGCAATACAACTAATGCACTAATATCCACAATATTATGATATTATGAAGCAGGAGAATATTGGGAGTTAACAGAAATGAGGAATGTTCAAAATCTTGACTTCATTTCTTTGTGCTACCATCTACACTTCTTAAACATTCCATTCTGGCGGCATTCAACTTTCTTTAATGATACACTGGCTTAAATATAGCCATTTAAACGTTTTTGAAAAACATTTCTTTGCTGCAAAAGTCTGCTTCTTACCCAATTACTATGTATTTCCTTGACAGAGATGGGCAGTCTAAAATCATGAAAATCTATCTATCTATCTATCTATCTATCTAATCTTTGCAGTTCTTAACATTTCTCAATTCCTTTTTTAATTTATTAAATTCTCTAATAAACATATGACTAAAGAATAGATCCACGTATTTGCTCTAAATTTTTGGCATTTATATAAAACTTGCAAAGCTTCACTGCATTTTCCCTGTCAAAGACAACTAAATAGGCAGATTCAAAAGCCCCTTATTTTTATCTTCCATTCATTCTGTTGGAAGGAGTTCTAATATTCTTCTTATACGACATCTTTTTCTGACATTATCCCATTTTCGGTCCCATTTCTATCATATTTTTCTTGCTCCATATCCATTTTTCCCAAGATCCACTATTGATACTACTAAAAATGAGTCGTCCATCAGAGGAGAACGCTGTAATTCCCCTTAGTCAAGTTTTTGGTGACCGATTGTTCATGATTAATTTTCCCATGTTCTTCTTTTGTTGTACTTCTGTTTTGGTCTGTGACCGCAAATAAAGTATTACTACTAAAAATGTCCTCCGTTCGGAACTCTTGTCATTGTCATCCTCATTCTGGCCATTGTCTACACACTTCTACACAAGGCCTCTTCTGCATGTTTCCAACCAATACAATTTCGAATTTTCCTTTGCCAACTGGGCCCGCGATACTTCAGTCCATCTTGCTTTAGGTCTTTTTGTGGACACTTCTGATCAAGTGGAATCCATTCTGTAACTGCCTTAGTCCACCTGCCATCAGTTCTTCTAGTTTGAAAATGCGTGGACTTCAACTCCCGGAACTGAAGAGCTGAAGTCCACACATCTTCAAATTTTGAAGGTTGAGAAACACTACTCTTGACCATTGCCTCCTCTCACGTTCTCATTTTTCCACAGGGTGTGGTCAGCATCAAATGGGCCTACAGCTAGGATTCTCCTTTGCTTGTCATAATTTTGGTGAATGGAGGCTTTCACATGCTGTTTTGTTGTAGGACGGAACAGATGTAGGATAGACAGACAGACAGACAGAATTCTTTATTGGCCAAGTATTGGACACACAAGGAATTTGTCTTAGTGCATATGCTCTCAGTGTACATAAAAGAGACATTCATCAAGAGTCAAGAATCATAAGGTACAACACCTAATAATAGTCATAGGTACAATAACCAATCAAATCATACTAGGAAATGGTCAATAAAAATCTTTAGGATAGAAGCAACCAGGTTACAGCCACAAGTCATAAGTGGGAGGAGATGGGTGAAAGGAAGGATGAGAAGATTAATAGTAATACTAGATTTGTAAATAGTTGGACAATGGTAAGGGAATTATTTATTTAGCAGAGTGATGACGTTCAGGAAAAACTGTCCTTGTGTCTAGTTCTGGTGTGCAGTGCTCTGTTAGAGTCGTTTTGAGGGTAGGAGTTGAAACAGTTTATGTCCGGGATGTGAGCGGTCTAAATATTTTCACAGCCCTCTATTTGACTTGTGCAGTACACAGGTCCTCAATGGAAGGCAGGCTGGTAGTAATTGTTTTTTCCGCAGCACATGATGTTACCAACCTACTCATGCCACATTTGGCATTCCTTTCTAATCGTTAGAAAAGTACAGATCATTTCTGGCATGTTTTGGTCAAAGCACAATTAAAGTCTAGTTTTTCCCAAAGCATGCCTGCATATTCTGTGCAAGGTGTGATTCCAATCTAGGGCTCCTTTCAAGACAACATATCAGCCAGGAGTCATGTGCAGTGTACTGATACACACTGAGGCTTTCTAGCAGGGGGTCCCCAAAATTGGCCACTTTAAGACTTGTGGACTTCAACTCCCAGAATTCTGATTCTGGGAGTTGAAGTCCACAAGTCTTAAAGTGGCCAAGTTTAGAGATCTCTGCTTTATAGCATTGTAAAGTTTACAAAACGTGGAACCATGAACGGTGAGTAAAAAATTACCTTTGGGAAATATAACAAATAGTGCTCAGTAGCTGTATTTGTTTATTCTTTGAGAAAATCCCTTTTGTATCTTAAACATAACATTTATCCACATGTGCCACTCAGTTTGTGCTTGTAATCTTCATCAGATTAGCCTAATTGGTTGATATCAGTGGAAGGAAAAAAGTGTGGAATCCGTGATGCTACAATAAAGTGCCTTTGTTCATTTGTTTTTGTGCTTTTTGTACTATCGGCTTTCCCTACGGATTACCTCTACCACTTGCAGAGAAGAAACTGATAGGTCAGAGACTGGAATATCGGTGTGCTGAATTCATAAACTATCCAAGTATTACCCATTTCCTTTGTTGCTTCGTCTATGCCTGTGCATTACATTGACTCCTTTTTTTTATATCTATGGTAAAGGGTGTTTCACAATTCATAGAATAACAGAACAAAATCACAGAGTTGGAAATGGATCTTAGATGTCTTCTAGTCCAACCCCTGCTTAGATGGGAAGTCCTATAATTTCAGACAAGTGGCTGTCAACCTTCATAAAAGCGTCCTGTGTTGGAGCATTCACAACTTCCTGACGCAAACTGAAAAGGTTGCAAATGGACATTGAAGGCCCTGCCCAGTGCAGGAATCCGCTGCTATGGACCTTCTACTGGCTCCTCCCACATTCTGAAGCGGTTGGTTGGTTGGTTGGTTATTCAGCTGAAAGCCCAAGAAGATGTCAGCTGGTGGCATCTGAGCTCAGTGTTGGGGTATCCCCTTGGTAGCTCCTAAGCATCATGCAGGTCAGAGCTAAAA